AATCTGTTGGGGAGAGGAGCACAAAGAGGCAGAGAGGATCCCGGCTGGCGCGGCGGGCAGCGGCTCAGCGCACCAGTAGCACTGGGTGCTCAGAGAGAGGGGAAGTGGGCATTTTGGGGAGGACTGGGGAGAAGAGGAGGAAATTCTGCTCCTGCTTCTGAGGGGTGAAGCAGGACTGGAGATTCAGTGTGAGAGAGGTGGAATTCTTAAGGGTAGATGTGGCACTGAGGGACGTGGAGGGTGGGCATGGTGGGGATGGGTTGGGGTTGGACTGGTGAGCTCAGAAGTCTCTTTTGACCTTTTTGGTGATTCTATAAAGAGGAGGGGACAGAGAAATGGAGACATGGGAGAGATCCGTCAGCAATGGGGGAAGGTGAAGGGCAAGAAGGGAGGAAAAGGGAGAACCAGGTGCTGGCATAGATGCCCAGGGATGGGGGTCACCATCCTGGGGTGTTCCAGAGCCGTGGGGGACATGGGCAGTGGGTGTCTGGGAGGACTTCTCCAACCTGAATGGTTCTGTTTCGATGATTCTATGACAAGAAGGGAGGATGAGGAGGAGGAGCTGCAGGGAGGAAGGCAGCATGGGGCAACGTGAGGAAAGGAGCTGGGCGAGAGAGAGGTGTGAAGGAGGATGAAGGTGGATGCGAAGGGCAGAGAGCCCAGCTGGAGCAACGTGTTCAGAGAGCCTCAGGGATGGGACTGGGTGCTTTTCCCTGCCTGCGATGCTCAGTGCCGAGAGCTGCAGCTCCCCCTTTGCTCACAGCAGCGCTCACATCGCGGCAGCTCCCGCTGGGGTGGTTTTGCTGCCACATCCCCGCCGCTTTCGGCGCGGCTCCTGGGGATCTTCAGTCTCTGCTGGAAAAGGGCCTCCTGGAGAGCCAGCAGGCAGCTTGCTTCCAAACAGCAACGTGAATTGTAAAGGTGACCTGAAAATTGAATCAAAACAATATATTCTTTTGCTCGCTTTATGAATGCAGTATATTCTTCCTTACGGCCACAGGCGGTCACAAACAAGCCACGGTTAAAAGTAGCAAGGGATGCGTGGCTCTGACATGAGCAGAGGGGGCTGAGGGGCTGGGAGGGACGCCCAGCAGGGCTGTGGTGCAGCAGCATCCTGGGAGCAGGGCGGGCCGGCGTCTGCCAGCAGGGGTTCGGGTGAGCTGATCCCTCCTGGCGGCAGGTGCTGCACGACCTCGCCGTGTCCCTGCAGCCTGGTGTTCTGCTGATCAGAAATGTCAGCCCTTCCCCTCCGTCCTCACCAGCTCTCCTGCTCTCGGCCGGGGGCACAACGCAGTTCTGTGGCATTTCCTCCTACATCTGCTGTGTGCGCAGAGGGAGAGACGTGTAAATGTGCAGATGAACAGGCAGACAGGAAGATTTCTGTAAAGGAAAGAATAACGATCTCTGCCTTTCCTATTAACTGTCTGTGTTTACCACGACCGCCCCAGGGAGCGGCTGCGCAAATCCCTGCAGGACTTGGCTTCACCCGCAGCGCTTTTCCCACTTGCTGCTGAGCTGAAGGCACTGGGAAGGTGCAGGTGTGCTGCTGCTGCTTCCCCACGTCTGTCTCTGCATTTCAGACCCAGCTCTGAGGCAGACAGCGAGGTCCTGTGCCCCATTTCCAGCTGGCGCTGCGGAGAGGCGAGCCCAGCAGTGATGCATTGCACTGGGAGCTGGCTGCAGCCGGCTCTGTGATTCCTGCTCATTTGCAAGCTGGAACACTCACATCGAGAATTCACGCCGTGCTGATGTGACAAGGAGCAGCCGGTTTGCCGGCAGTTTTCCCCATTTTTTTCCTACAGGGGTGAGGATGGGCGCGTGGGGCAGCGTTTCCGCAGCAGTGGCAGCACCCCATCACGGTGTCGGCTCACCGCATTGCTTCGGAGCAAGCCAGCACCTGGCTCCGCTCATCCATTATTCCTCCAGCTGCTTTTGGCCGTGTCGGGAGGGCTGACCTCCCCCCAGCTCAAGGGACGCTCTGCCTTTCCTTTTGTCGCCCCACCATTGAGCCAGCCCGACAGCTGCTCTCTCATTAACCTCTCCTGGCCTCGCAGCACTAATGATCTTTTGTGGCTCAAAGCGTTACTAACGCCTTTAGCATCCGACCGGTGGCCGCGGCGCTATCTGCAGGCATGGGAACGCTCGCACCCCGGTTCGATTGCAGTCCAAAGGGACGGGGACATCCCGGGTGGTGGCACTGTGGGCACTTTGCTGCAGCAGCCGCAATCGAGGGAGGTAAATCAAAGCGCCTCTCCCCAAAGGTGGTTTTCCACTCACACCAAGAAGCTCACTGCTTTTAGTTATCCTTTCTAGCCACGCTCTTGGGAATCACCTCAAACACTGCAAGATTGATTGTTTTATTTAGTTGTGGGTTGTTTTTTTTTTCCTGCTGTTGGTCACAAATTGCTTTTTTGCTGGTGGTCTCAAACAGCACACAGCTCAATTGTCAGCAGCATTGTTACCTATGGATGCCATATGGCTCCTCTGCGCTCCGCTCACAAGGTCTGCTGCATTGTAAGTGCTGCAGATAAGCGCGGAGCAGACGGGAGGGAAGGGGCAGCAGTTCCAACGGCGAAATCCTCGCTGCCTTTGCGCGGTCATGGAATGTGCGAAGGAATACATTAAGAAGGACAAGAGGTGTTTTGAGAGACACAGCTGCACTTTGCATGCGTCTCTGCTCCTCTTCCCTCTGCAAAGAGAAAAAGATGAGATTTTACATTTCGTTCACATGGCACCGAGGGTTCTGCAGCTCCCGAAGGGAAGTGCTGCGGGGAGAGAAACCGAGACCAGACCAGGTTCCCAGCTCTGTGAAAGGGTTGGAAAATGAAAGCAAAGAGATGGAAGGTTTCAGCTCAAGCTTTTCCTGAAGCAGAGCCATTGGAGGGAAGGGAGAAAGCACTTTCCCAGCTCGGTCACTGGGTGGGAGGCAGGAGGCAGGGGCTGATGCAGCAGGGAGGGATTGCAGGCGGATATCTGGGGCTCTGGGCTCACCCGGTGCGTGCCAACATTTTACAGATACTGCGTGTGTGAACACTGGAAATAAAGAACAGAGAACAGCTGCAGTGATTCAGTCAGACCTCTGTCAGCCCACCCTCTCACTGCAGCAAATATCCACATCAGAAGATGGGAGAAGCCTGGAGCTAAGGCTGCTCGTGGTCCCAAATCTCCTTTCCTACGCCCCAAAAATGTGCATCTCAGGCACCCCCTGAGCTGACAGCCCTCAGAACACCTCTCTTCCACGGATCCGTTCCCTTCTCCCATCAATCTCCCCTCTGAGCCCCTCATAACCTTTCAATGGGGACAATCTGTGTTTTTTTGAGCACTGTGCTGCGCCGTGTGTTCCCTCACTGCCGTGCAGCATCGCCCATTTATCAGCATCGTTGGATGCCCCCTAATGCTCACAGCAGATGAGGCAGCACGGGGCACACGCTGGGCCTGCACACCTCCCTCAGCCTGCAGTCCTCACTTACAGCACAATAAAGTTACAAAAGCAAAGGCAAGGGAATAACATGGAAAAGTGCTGAAAAAAAAATGCAAATTCAGGCAAAAAATAGCTCCACACAGTTCAGATGTTCATGCTTGCTGGCTGTAAATTAGCTGTTACCACTCAGCAAAGCAGGGAGCTGCCACTGCTCTGTCTTTGAGAGCCAAATGACAGCTCAGCAGCGCCTGGATGTGATGGTAAGCTGGCCAGAAACATTAAGAAAATCAGAGAGCCTTCCCCAAAAAGGCAGCGTGCCACAGAACACCATGGGTGGTGACCACGAGGGTGCTGGTCCACGGCACAGGGTGCTGCTCCATGGTGTGGGGGGCTGCTCCATTACAGGGTGCTGCTCCACGTTGTGGGGTGCTGCTCTGTGATCTGGGGTGCTGCTCTACAGCACAGGCTGCTGCTCCATGGTGTGGGATGTTGGTCCATGGCACAGGGAGATGCTCCACGGTGCAGTATGTTGGTCCATGGCATGGAGTGCTGCTTTATGCTGTGGGGTGCTGCTCTTCTGCACAGGGTGCTGCTCCATGACATGGGATGCTGGTCCACAGCACAGGGTGCTGCCCTATGACACAAGGCGCTGCCCCATGGTGTGAGGCACTGGTCCATGGCACGGGGTGCTGCTCCACGGTGTGGGCTGCTATGTTGCGAGGTGCTGCTCTACGGCACAGGGTGCTGGTCCACTACATGAGATGTTGGTCCATGGCACAGGGAGATGCTCCATGGTGCAGTGTGTTGGTCCATGGCACAGAGTGCTGCTCCATGGTGCGGGCTGCTGCTATGTTGCGAGGTGCTGCTCTATGGCACAGGGTGCTGCTCCATGACATGGGATGCTGGTCCATGGCACGGGATGCTGCTCTGTGACACAAGGCGCTGCCTCATGACGCGAGGCACTGCTCCATGACACAGCTCCATGTTGCTCCATGGTGAAGAGCCCAGCCGGAGGACCCAGCGCTGAGCCCCAGGAGTGTTGCTGAGACACAGGACCACAGAATGGTTGGACAGAAAGCACCTCCAAGACCACCCGGTTTCAATCCCTGCTGCAACAAGGCTGACAGCCCCGAACCCGGGCGCAGCTCAGCTCTGTGAGCAGCCGCAGCCCGCGGGCAAAGGGCGTCCGGGCTGCGGCGGGGACAGCGCTGCCAGCAGGGGGAGGTGGGGATCGCAGAATAAGCGAATGTTCGGGTTGGAACAGAGCGAAGGGCCCTTCCTACAGCAGGGACGTGCTCGTGTCCCTGCCCCTCAGCGGGTCCCCTCAGCCTTCCGCTGTCTCCTCAGCGTGTCCCCTCAGTGTGTCCCTCTGTCCTAAGGGCAGCCCTCAGGATGCCCCTCAAGGGATTCTCTCAGTCCCTCGGTGCGTCCCCTCAGTGTAAGCCTTCACTTTGCCCCTCTGTCCTCAGTGTGTCCCTCAGTGCAGCCCCTCAGTCCCTCACAGCGCCTCTCAGCGCGCCCCCTCCGCGCGCCCACCAGGACAACATGGCGGAGGTGTGGGGGGGCTGGCAGCCAGAAGGCGGCCCCGCCCGGCGCATGCGCGGCTCTGGTTGCTCCCCCCACTCACTACGCGCGCACACACAGCCGCCATGCTGCAGGAGCTGAACGAGCTGCTGGACGCCGCCCCGCAGCGCCCGGACACGGTGAGGGCGGGAGGCGGGAAGGCGGCGGGGGCGCGGGGAGGCGGAAAGGGGGCGGTAGGCGGTAGGCGGTGGGCTGTGGGCTGTGGGCTGTGGGCTGTGGGCTGTGGGGCGGGAAGGCGGGAAGGCGGGAAGGCGGGAAGGCGGCGGCGCGGGGCACGCCGGGAGCTGTAGTACAGGCGGGCTGCGGCCGTGGCGCCATGAGGAGGGAACGGCCCTTCACAGAGCTCGCTGGGATCTGTGGGGCGGACGGAGCAAAAGGAGGGGATGTAAAAGTGTTGCCCCTTCGGGGAGAACTCTTAGAGCTGGATGGGAGCTGTGAGGGCCATCTAGTCCAGCTCCCCTGCCGTGCACAGGGACAGCACAGCTCCATCAGGTTGCCCAAGGCCTGATCCAGCCTTGGAAGTCTGCAGGGTTGGAGCATCCACCGCATCTCTGGGCAGAAGAAGTTTCTGTTCCTTTAGGAGGCTGCATGGAAGTGTTTTGTCCCTGCAGTTTTGGTGCTGAGCTGTGGTTGCTGAACTCTGTGTGGAGCTGTGGTACGTTTGGGTCAAACGATAAGAAAACCTTCACGTGTTACAGAGAATGGGATGTATTTCCTGATACGTGCTATGTTAGGCAATAAAATTGTGTATTTGGAGTGGCCATTTGTTTTGTACAGCTGCAGAACCCATGGAGTTCCCCACAGCTGCCGTGGGGTGTTTGGGGTCTGTCACCCCACACCCTGAAGGAGTGAAGACTTTGAGGAGAGAACATGTGAGATCCCTGGGTTTAGAGTCCCACAGTCATTAAGTTTGGAAGAGACCTCTAAGATCATCATGTCCAGCTGTCAGCTCACCTCCACCGTGCCCACTGCCCACGTCTCCCAGTGCCACATCCCCACAGTTCTTGAACACCTCTGGGGAAGGTGATCTCCCACCCCTGGGCAGCTGTGCCAGCACTCAAATGCTCTTTGGAGAAGAAACTGTTCCCAGTATCCAGCCTGATCGTGCCCTGGTGCAGCCTGAGGCCATTATGTCTTGCTTGTTCAGCCCAGAGCAAATGAGGCTGAGATGAGGCCTCATGGTGCCCTACAGCCCCTCATGGCTCTACAGATCCTCACAGGGAGCAAAGGGGCAGCTTTGCTCTCTATGACAGCAACAGGGCCCAAGGAAACAGCATGGAGCTGTCAGAGAGGGTTGGGAAGTGGGGGATGAGGGGGTATGAGGGAAAGGCTGTGCCCCACAGGATAGTGGGCATGGAGCAGCTCCCCAGGGCAGCAGGCACAGCCCTGAGCTGCTGGAGCTCATGGAGCACTGGGACACCGCTCACAGATATAGGGTTTAATTGTTAGATAATGCTGTGTGACGCCAGCAGATGGACTCAATGAGCGCAGGTGCAGGACGGGAATTCAGCAGAGCAGAAGGAGGTTATGCCTCAAAATCCTGAGTTTTGATGTGGCAGCGTGGGCAGAACCTGGAAGCAGTGCTGAACCGAAGACTCAGATTTGTGTTGGCTCTTTCCTCCTTCCATCAGCTGAGGACATGGAATTCCATCCACCCACTTGGACGTCCTGCCACTCTTGGGCTACGAATGCAGGCCAGAAATCCTTCTTAAAAAGCATCAGCCCTTTGCAGGTTTCCTTTTCCCTTCTCTGCCATATCGTTTCTGCATGTCTGTGGTTAAGCCTGTGCCATTTCACGTTGGGTGTTAGGAAGAATTTCTCCTCCAAAAGAATGCTCGGGCACTGGCACGGTGCCTGGGGAGGTGGTGGAATCACCATCCCTGGAGGTGGTCAGGGACCGTGGAGATGTGGCACTTGGGGGCATGGTCAGCGGGCATGGTGGAGCTGGCAGTTGGACACAGCGATCTGAAAGGCCTTTTCCAAACGTGATGATTCTACAGTTCTGTGATTTTTCAAAGAACTGACCGCAGGGCTGGGAGGTGGAAGAAGCTGCTGCGTTTGTGGGTGTACTGACATGTCACCAACAAATGCTGTCACTCCTGCCGCTGCCCTGCCAGTCGATGCTGGCAGTTTCTAACACGTAGCTGCAGCTTCTGCTCTGTAGCCTGCAGGTGGACAGAGTGTGAAAGCGGAGTGCTGGGCACACAGAAGGAGAAGGCGCTGCAGGAGTCTTTCCCTTGAGGTGCTACAGACATGCTGAGCAGTCTTCCTGGGCTCAGGAAGGGTGTGTGGACTGGGTGGAAGGCAGGCAGGACTCCGGTATTTCCAGGAGTGCAAAGCCAGCAGCGCAGGAGGTGCACGGTTCAGACATTGCTATCGCTCGCTAGCTGGGTGTGAAAACATCAGAAATGGAGAGTTTTGAGTACTGAGCAGCTGCAGTGCGACAGCAAAGTGAGAATCATTGAGACTGAAGGTCAGTGACTGGAAGTTCTGAAGGAGGTAAATCACATGTGCGCTCCATGACAGCATCCCACCGAGTCCCGCACAGCGTGCGGCAGCAAAGCGCGCAGCCTTCCAAGCAGGCAGGTTTCACTTCACTGTGAGCGAGGAGGGGAAGAGGGGCTGCATTCAGACTCACAGCGTGCAGAAGGAGAGTCCCAGGGGATGAGAGGAGCTCGTGGAGGGGCTGAACGCAGAAATGAGGATCTTGTGCTGTTCCTGAGACCGCTCTAAGCTTACAATACTGACATCCCTGTGAGCCTCTCACTGGGTGGTGCCTCCACTCTGCTTTGGGTGGAAAAGTGCTCTCTGGCTGGGGCAGAGCAGCATCTCTGTACCCTAAACTTCATTTTGCATTCCCTGCAGACGGACTGAATGTTTATCATTCTGTTAGCAGCATTTTACAACACGTTATGCATGGGGGTGTTAACTGATAGATGCCTTACAAATCACCTATGGGCAGATTGCTTGTTGCTGCAAAGAGCTTTTTTTTTCTTGTAATAAACTGAAAAAAAAAAAAAAAAGCAATGATAAGTTTAGTGATTAAAAGCAACCCATTTATGTTTTGTACTGATTAGAGGAAAATCTCTACTGAAATTTTAATGGAAACAAATGCCTTGATGAGTCTAGTACTGATAACAAGTGTGCACTGATGAAGTGAATTCATTTCCTGCCTGATCAGAACAAGGTAGTGTACTTTGTGCAGGGTTCTGCTCCTGTAAACACATTGAGATGCTGAGGCTTCCTGCTCTGAACGTGGCATGTCTCAGTGAGCCTGATGGTGGCTGAGGTGCTGCCTGTGCCCTTCCTCCTCTGGTGCCATAGAACTATGGAATATCCAGAGTTGGAAGAGACCCCTAGGTATCATCGAGTCCAACTTCTGTACCTGCAGAACCTCCCCTGGCTGCAGGCATCGTCTCCCAAGGCACAGAGCCAGGAGCTGTTCATACCCTCATCTTAACCCACTTTGAAGTTAATTTGCTGCTTCTTTTCCAGGGTAAATTCACACTGCTGCGAGACAGCAGAACGGATGGCAGCTTCTTGGTGCACCACTTCCTCTCCTTCTACCTCAGAGGTGGGTGAGCAGCAGGACTCTGCAAGGCAGGGGTTTGTCCTCACCTGCTCCTTGGAAGTTCCTTCTCCACGAAGTGTTTCTGCAAGAGCTGATTCTGCGGGGAGCAGGGCATCCTCCCATCAGTGCAGGGCTTCTGGCTCCCAGTCCTGACTTGTTCCTAGGCCTTGCTCTCGAGCCCTTCGTCTCTGTGCAGTGATGTCATTGCGCAGTGAAGGCCGTAAATCACCTGGGCATCTGAGGGAGAGCTGCCATGTGTGGGTCCTTTGTTACTGAACATTTCGCAACATTTTGTTACTGTCAGGAACAACCGGCAGATAGATAAGATAGCAGTGAGTAAACAAACAAACAGAGTTGCTGGCAAGCTGCCTCATTGCTTTGCTGCTGACCTCCCAGCCCCAAATAACCTATCGGCCTCTGTGGAGCGGCCACCCGACTCGCAGACTCCAGTTCTCTGCTGGTAAACCTGTTCAGAGTGAAATTTCACTCGGGGTGCTGTCTGTGCTCCCCCACAGCTGCCACCTCCTCAGCTGCAGCTTCATCATTTCTAAGGGTTGGTTTCCTTGATTTGCTGAACAGAGAAGCACTGCAGGAAGGCATGGGCTGAGCAGGGAGTGAGCAGCGGGAGCCGGTCGGGGGGCAGTGCTCCTTTACAGCCTGCCATGCCAAACCAGCACCATCCTGCCCTTGACCCAGTGCCCAGCTGGTGCTCAAAACATTTGGGAAGGCCCAGCTGGCACCGCAGACCTTGCTGCTCGTAATCTAAGGCCACAGACCTTGCCACTTGTGATCTGTGTCCTGCACTCTGGCAGGGAGAAGCAGCCGCGCCGCTTTGGGTCTGAACCAAAGCACAAGGCCAGGTTGTCACGCGCTGGGGTTTTCCAAAATCATGTTCTAGTGAGATATCTTTGTGAAAATTGCTGGTTCTGTGTGTGTTTGCAGATAAGGTCACTTGCCCTGAGAGAGCCAAAACAGGGACTCTTGGCAGGCCTGTGATTTCAGTAATTCGTGTCATGGTCGGCCGTTGGCCTCCTTGCAGTTGTACCAACAAACAATGCAGGGAGATCCCTGGGCAGAACGGAATGGGACAGAAAAGAGGCTTTCTAATTTTACTTTGTCATCTCTTTCTTGTTCTTCTGTTTATTTTTAACCTGGCTACAGCTTTCACTAAATTGGAAAGCTCAAAGAAAAGCGAGAATGGAAAACCCATAGAAAGGTAAGAATGGAAAGCCATTCTGTTCCATTCCAAGCTATGAGCAAGTGAGAGGCTGCCTACACCTTCCTCCCTTCAAGGCCTTTGCAGGCAGATTTATGGCCTGGCTGCTGTGATTTATGTGCCGCAATAATGGCAGTTTACAAGTGAAGTAATAACAATGTGTCTTTTGTCTTCTTCCCCAGCTGGCTGTAAGGTTTGCTTCCTGGCCCTGGTCCAGTCCTTCAGTCACTATAACATTGTAGCACAGAAGCTGGTAAGTGTCCTGGCACAGGTTGGTAACTGCGGGCCCTGTGGACGCAGTTTCAGTGGTGCTCTGGGGAGGAAAGCCCTCTGGTATCTATGTCCAGGTACATTCAGAAGGATGCCTGTGTGCTGCTTCTGGCCTCTGGGCAAAGACATGGATCTGAGCCATCTGAGAAGCCACAAGCACCAATTTCCTTCCCATGGCGAATCAGGGAAGGATTACATGTACCACAGAATGAGGACACTAAGAACCAAGGCCATTCCCAGTGTCAGAGCACCCCTCTCACCTGTGGGTTGAAATGCATCTCTCAGCTTTTGTGGAGTGTTCTCTTACAGCCATGGAATGCTCTGGGTGCAAAATCCAGGTGACCTCCCAGAGCTGAAGGGATTGCACTGACTCTGCTCTGCTCTGCTAGGGGCCTCAGCAGTGCTTCAGCTTACAGAGAAGGTACTGAGGAGCCAGGTGCAGTGATGGTCCGTTCCCCACTCTAATGCTAGACAGCTGGTTTTATTTTTAATACTCAGTTTTCACCTTCTGTTAGGAGGAGATAAATGGCCTGAGGGCTCAGACTTAAGTTAACTAAGATGGACTGAGCAAAAAGCATTTTGATGTGAAGCTTTAACTCTCGGTCAGGTACTGAGCGTGCATTTCCCCTGCAGAGCATTTCCCAGAGGAGGAAGTGTGGGTTGGAGATTCGGCTGTTCAGTATGGGAACCTTGGCTGCACTAAAAGCAGAATCATATTTGCTGGTGTGTTCCTGAAGATGGTGAAATTTCCCATTACGCAGCTCCAGGGTGTGCTTTTAATAGGTGGTGGTGTCATCTCTCTGGTGGGAGAGTCTGAGAAGTGGGAGAACAGAAGGATTAGCTGGAGCCCATGTGCAATGCAAATCAAAGTGCTTTGCTGTCTGATGCTTCCAACACAAAGATTACTCTTGTGAAGGAGTGATAAGAAGAACAATGCAGTTTGCTGGGGGAGTTGAGGGAAGGGATTACATTTGCCTACAGCAGTGAGCTGACCCTGTCCTGTTGGTTTCAGGTCTCTGAATCACTCTTCTTGTAACTTTGCAGGTCTGTGTGTGCGATTGGTGTGAATTCTTTAAAGCAGTCAGTGGTTCTACTGTCACTTATTTGTATCTGCATTTCTGTAAGAGCTTTGCTTTAGCCCTTTTCCCAGATGATCACGGCAGGCTCTGTTACTCTGTTTTAGCAGAGTGGTTTCACTCAGGCCTGTGTACGACTGGAGACTTGATGATGGGAGCTGCCTCTCTTTACAGTCTGGCTGTGCTGCTGTAGCTGCCTGCTGGAGGCAGCTGGGATGTCACTGCTGCAGCAAGCCCTGGTCTCAGGCACTGCTGTGAGCAGAGCCGTGCTGCTGCTAGGTGCTGCGTGCTGCAAACACCCAGCTGGTCCCTGCCTAGCGCCTCTTCCTCACTGGGAAGCTGTGGACCTGGCTCACTGCGTTGGCCGGATGAGCTGCAGGGGGACAGATCTGTTGGAAAAGGCTGCTGAGCTGCAGCATTGGCTGCACGGGTTCAATCTCCCATAGCATTCCTTTCTAGCAGAAGGTTATGTGCTAATGAAGGGCTGCAGTCAAACGAGCTGGCAATGCCCAAAGCCGGGATGTGAGCTGTGAGCACTGGGCTGTGGGAGATGTCCCTGCTCATGGCAAGGACTGAGGCTTGGTGGGCTTTAAGGTGCTTTGCAACCCAAACCAGTCTGTGGTTCTAGGATTGACTCTTTTCTATCACAGTGCCTACAGATTTCAGTGCAAGCTGAACCTGGCTGTCGTTGCCAGGCTGGAAAGCGTGCTCTGACCTCCCCAGAGAGTGTGCTGCTGAAGTATGATGCAGGCTTTACAGTGCTACCTTGCAGTCCTTGTAGCACTTGGTGGTGTTGCTGCTTCCCAGCAGTGCTGCCAGGTCTCATCAGACCCTCACAGCTTAGTTAAATGCAATTTCCCTGGGATTTTGTGCCTGTGCTGCCTCACAGTGCTGCCCTCACACTTCCTTTTTTTTCAAATTCCACCCTTCGTTTGAGGATCCACACGTAATTGAAGGGACAGTTAACGTTAACGTTGTTTGTCGTGACCTTCTAGAGAACTGCAGCAGGACTGATGGCACGAGGGCAGCCTACCAGCTGGTGTTCCCACTCTCACTTGTACAAGCTTTGATATGTTTTGAAGGAAAAACAGATTTATTTCCATGTGGCCTCCCTCTTGCCTGCTCCCCATTCCCAGCACTGAGGTTGCAGACCCAAGGACGTCGCCTGCTCGCCCCTGCTGTCCCCTGAGGGTACACATGCTGGAGAGGAGACCTTGGATGAGTGCCTGATCACAGACTGTCGCACTTTGTACCGCCGTGCCATTCGCCGTTGGAGCTGATGGAGCTTAATGGAGCTGCCTCACGTGTTCCATCATTCCTTCTCTCCTGCGGATATTTTGCTTTCCATTATGAAGTGGCCGACAGCAAGCAGCAGGTTTGGTTTGGAGGAACGTCGCGGCTGCAGGCTGCTGGGACCCTGCAGGTGCTGCCTGCCCAGAAGCGTTGCAGGCTCTGCAGCTGTGCCTTGTCGGGAAGCTGTTGGTTCCAATCTCCCCAGACTGTGATCTCGGAGGCATTTCTGGGCTGGATCGATGAGTGACAGATTGCCAGAGACAATGTCTGTGCGTGGTGATGGAGCGCGGTGCTGTGAGATAATGAGGGCTTTCAGGGTTGGTAACGCACGCTGCTCGGCACTGTGGCCCTGCAGCAAGGACGTTTTAGTGCCTCTGATCCTGCTGGCACTCAAGCAGATGCCATTGGCTATTTTGGGTTCATTTTCCATCACCTTTGAGCTGTCCTGGCTCTTTCCTCTGTTGTCCAGGCGGGCCCTGCTGTCCTAGAGCTGAGCTGCCAAGTGTTTCAAGGAGGAGATGATGGTTCCTTGCTGCTCTGCTAGGGAAACAGCTGAACTGGGAGGCTGGAACTAAATGCTCTTTTGAAGTCCCTTCCGACCTGAGCCATTCTGTTTGAAGTACACAGTTTGCATGTGCACAGAGCAAAGCAAAACTCCATTTCTGAGTGACCAACATGAAGAGTGACTTCAGGTGCTGCTTTGGCAAAGCACTTAACGATGAGCCTGAATCCTGTGAGCTCCAGACGTCCAACAGGGGATCAGTGAGCCTGTTCCTGCAGCCGCCCTGCAGCACAGCCCTGCTTGTGGCATGTCAGGTATTTGCCAGCTGATCCACATTCCTGCTGCATAAAGCCCTTGTGTTCTTGGTGAGGAATTGTTCCGTGGTGTGGGCTTATTATTACCTAGGAGGCTAGTGCTAGCTCTGCACTCCTGCCCTACTTCCCATCAGGGTTTTAGTGGGTAATTATCACCTGCAGAAGCTGAATTCCTGTGCCTGAAGCCCACGTGCCCTGACGGATTCTCCCCTGAGAGCTTCAGCAAAGAGAAGAAATGTGATGTAAATCTGTCATTCCTATCATCAGCAGCAAACATGTGGCCACTGATAAGCCTTGCAGGGCTGGGGGTTAATCTCCTGGAAGGGGCCTCTTCCTTATCTACTCAGACCTTCTCTCTCTTGGGGTGCTTGTGTGGAAATGCCACGCTCCCAAGGCAGCCTCGTGTAGGTATGTGGCACTGATTAGATGTCTGGGCTGTAGCTTTCCAATCTACTAAGAATTGAAAAAAAAGGAGGAGGAGGAGGTGAAATGCTGGCTCTTATGGGTTGATGTCAGAGTAACAGGAGGGTCTGGCAGGTGGGATATGGGGTGGGAATCGGGAGGCAGAAGTGGACATGTGGCTTTGTGCATCTCCTTTGTGTGTGAGCAAAGAGCTCGTGGGTGTCACTTGGAAAACCTCTGTAAAGCAAAGGGAGGAGTTGGGCTGGCACCAACTCTGCCCACCTGCAGGGATCCTTGTCCCAGTGATCCACTCTCTCAGGATCCTTGTTTCTGGTTAGAATCATGGAGTCATTTGAGTTGGAAAGGCCACCTAGTCTGGCTCCCCTGCAGTGCACAGCTCCATTGGGTGCTCAGCCTGCTTCCCAGCCTCTGTCTCCCTAGTTTTGCCTCTTGAGCAACCCTGCGCTGAGCTAAAGCTTCCTGAACTCTTAGTTAACCACGTCTCGCCATTTTGGCCAACTACCTGCTGCCTTGCACAACAGCCCCATTTCCAGAGGCTTTGTGCTAACGCTCCCCAGCTCCATTTGAAGAGATTGCAGTCCGTTGTGAAATGTGGGAAGCAGCCCACGCTGCTCAGCCAAGCAAACTCATGCTTCTTCCCACAGGGAAACTGGCGGTTTGACCACGGTGAGCTGTGTGATGGATCTTGATGGTTACACAAAGTACTACATTTTCTCCAGAAAACCAAACTGGTGCAGTTACCAGTAAGCTAAGGAACAACAGCATCACCCAAAGTTGCCCTTGATTAAAAAAAAAAAAGAAAAAAGGATGAGGAGCTGTTTTGTGAACTGTGTCTCCAGCTGGGATCTCCATTCAGGATCTTCTGTATGAATCTGCTCCACCTCTGCCAGGGCTTTCTTCCTTGGTCCTGGAGGTGCTGGAGCTGGATGTGCCCCGTGCTTGGCTCTCAAGGTAGAGCAGGAGATTGGCACAGGATGCCCAGGTGGAGCTGCTGTCTCTGGAGTGCTCGAGAGCCATGGAGATGTGGCATGTGATGACAGGGTCAGTGGGCATGGTGGGGATGGGCTGGGGTTGAACTCGGTGACCTCAGAGGTCTTTTCCAACCTGTGTGATTGTATGATTCTGGGAGGTCTTGGCCCCAGGTGGATGCTGAGGCTGCTTTCCCTGGGAGCTGTGCTGTGTGGGTGTCAGTGCCTGGCCTTGGCTTCTTCCGGACCGCACCTTGCTCGTGTGCGTGGGCTGTGCTGAGGAGCTGCCAGTGCCAGGCTGTCAGTGTTGCCACATCAGTGATGTGAAGATAATAAAAACCATTAGCTTTCACCTGCCAAGAAAGGAAGATGAAGAAATTGCTCCCTGCTAATACCCCATGCCTATATTCTCCCTGACTCTGAGTAAGAATTATTTTCTCATGCTGGGCAGCAATGATGCTGCTGTCTTCCCAGGAGTGATTCCAGTTCATTTGAGCACCCCAAACCCCACTGCTTGTTTATCATAGAATCACAGCATGGCCTGGGTTGCAAAGCAGCACGATGCTCATCCAGCTCCAACCCTGCTGTGTGCAGGTCACCAACCAGCAGCCCAGGCTGCCCAGAGCCACATCCAGCCTGGCCTTGAATGCCTGCAGGGATGGGGCATCCACAGCCTCCTTGGGCAACCTGTTCCAGTGCCTCACCACCCTCTGGCTCAAAAACTTCCTTCTAATATCTGACCTAAACCTCCCCCGTCTCAGTTTTTCCTCCTCCTTTTACAGCCACTGTGCAGGATTCATTCAGGCAGTGACTTTATTAGCACATTTTGATGGGACTTGATATAAAAATAGTCTGTTGATCTGCTTGGTTCTGTCTGTACCCTTCCTCCAAAGCAGTTTGCTCTGCAACATAATGTTTTCCTCTCTCTAGGGGATCAGTCTAACTGCTGCCAAGGAACAGGGGCAGCTTGTCTTTTTGGAAGGCCTCAAGTCCTGCCTTGACCTCGTGTTTGGGGAGGAGGAGCGGTCAGGACAGCCCAGTCCTCTTCAGTTTATAAGGTAAACCCATCCAGCTGGAGGAGGCAGAGGTGGTTCTGCTGGGGCTGAGCATGCTGAGCATTTCACCTCCGGGTTCTCACGTCTCCTGCCCCTCCACCCAACATGGAGAGCAGCATGAACTGAGGTCAGGCCCCTTTTCAGCTTCCCTGCAGGGCCCAAGGGCTCAGCAGGTGTGCACTGCGCTTGGTAAAGGAAATACCCAAACCGTGCATGTTGTGCTTGTCCTTCCCTGCCCCTCTCTGCTGCTTGGGGAGGGGTTCTGTCCTCTTCAGCATTTTGGAGCAATTTCTCGCCCCATCCTCATGGCTTAGTGTGCTACAGGGCTACACAAAATTTATTCCAGCTCTCAGCAGGCTTGTTTCAAATAAAACTCCATCCAAGCTGTTAGAGCACAGTGCTGATCTGGCCGTGTTGGTTTCCTTTTTGTGCCCACTGCACTTTTCCATGCTCCTGACGACTTGATAAAAGTGTACCAAACCCTGCATGGAGGAGAGGAGTCGCTCCCTCCTGTGACGGAGGAACAGCAGCACACACACAGAGCAAGAGCAGCAAACCTGGTGCCATGTCAGGCACGGGGATTCCCTGCTATGGGATGGTGGGCATGTGGAAAGTGCTGTGGGGCAGCAAAATGCACTGAGAGCACCTGAAAGGTAACCACCTCGAGGGGAGCATGCTAGAGGAGAGGCTCAGGGCAGGCAGTGAAACCTTGTAAGGCCCTGAGCTGTGGGATCCCATAACTTTTGGGATGTGGCTCGTGGGTGTTGCTGCAGCATGGCATATCCCTTGAGCAAGGTATGAGGATTTCCCTATGCACACGCAAGCGAGGAGCATTGACTGCAGGTAACCTCTGGATCTGGGAGATCGAGGTTAGGTGTTAGGAGAGGTTCTTTAACCAGAGGGTGGTGAGGCCCTGGCACAGGGTGGGTGCCCCGTCCCTGGCAGCACTCAAGGCAGGACTGGATGGGGCCCTGGGCGGCCTGATCTGGTTGGGGACAAGCAGGCAGGGTTTGGAAACAGATGGTCTGTCAGGTCCCTTCCAGCCCAACCAGTCTGTGATTCTGTGACCTGAGGGATGTCATGGCAGTAGGGGTGCTGCAGGCTTGCCTTCGTTGGGTCAGTGATGCTGAGTGGGACATCAGCAGGACAAGGGGAAATGGTTTGAAGTTGAGGGAGGGCAGCTGGAGGTTGGATGTCAGGGGAAGTTGTGTGCTGTGAGAGCGGGGAGGGGCTGGAACAGCTGCCCAGAGAGGCTGTGATGCCCCATCCATCCCTGGAGGTGTTGGAGGCCAGGTTGGATGGGGCCCTGGGCAGCCTGGGCTGCTGTGCAATGGGGAGGTTGGTGGCCCTGCATTGGTGGGGGGTTGGAGCTTCGTGATCCTTGAAGTCCCTCCCAACCCAACCGTTCTGTGATGCTGTGATCTGGGTGATGGCAGCCCCTCGAGATCTCCTCTTTCCCTTCCAGTGGGAGCGTTTCCAACCTCAAGGACCTGTTTCACTTTGTCCAGAAGTCCCTGACGCCTGCTGACAGCGACTGCTGGAAGGGCCGGGTGCTGCTGGTGGATGACCTCAGCGTGCTGCTCAGCCTGGGTGCTGCGCCAGTGGACGTGCTGGACTTCATCCACTACTGCAGAATGGTCGTGTGCTCTCAGCTCAAGGTACTGCTCCCTCCGCACACAGAAGCAAAGCCTGGCTTTCTCTGTGTTCCCCTGTGCACAGTAGAAGTGCAGAAGGCTTTGTCTCTGCGGGAAGTTCAGACCTTCTCTCCATGGCCCTTCCTGGGGAGTTGCATGAGTCCCTGGGGTACCTTTGCAACTGGTTTCCAGGAGGTGCTGTGCAGAGCAGGGCTTTGGGGTGGAACGCGCTGCTTTTTTCAAGCTGTGACACTTCAGAGATGTCTGCTCACAGCCGTGTTTGTGTGCATGCAGGAGGAAACATTTCTAAGGTGACAAGGGGCTGACGAGCTGGGGATGCAGCTGAAGGTCTGCTCGGCTCCTGGGGTGGAGGGAACGTGGCTCTCTGCTTCCAGCAGTTTTGCACCAGCTGCTTTCTGAGGGCATGTGACCATGTGGCAATTCTACAACAATCTCCCTGGCGATGCGCTCGTCCTGGAAGCATCACAGCCAAAAATCATTAATCACATCCATCCTTTGCTGTTTACACTGCAGCATCCACCACCTCAGCCACTTCTCTCTTTGCTTGAGTGAGAAATAAAGTAGACGATGTCAGGTTTTGTTACCCTGCACTTCACGTGTTGCTGGGGTGTTTGAGCTGTAAATGCTGACAGGGGATGTTCTGCTTGCTGGGAATACTTACCATCAAAGCAGCTGGAAAAAAGAAAAAAAAAAGGTAAATTTTGCTAACACGTTTCTATTTCTGTCCAAGATGTTCTGAAGCTTTAAAGTACATTTTACTTGTTTGAGAATTGGATGTTATTTTAAGTCCACAGTGAGCTGCCTGTGCTGAGGCAGAGGCTCCTGGGATATGGTTAATGGTGGTGGTGTTGCACTGGGGAGCTCTTCAGGAGCTGAGAAGGTTTGGAAGCACAGCTCTGGCTGCAGCCGCTCAGCTGTGTCTTTATTTAGCTGTTCTGAATTCATCCAGAGAGCTGCTGTTTGCACGGCCTGACAGACAGGTTTAGCTAGATAGCTGCCTTGTAACAAAGGCTGCATGTATTTTTAGTCTAGATAGGTCTGCAGATACTGCAGATGTGTGTGTTTGTGTGTATACAGATCTGTACGCATACACACACCAAGCTATTTCAGAGATGTGTGTATGCCTTCAAGAAGGCCCGGTGCAAGGTGCTGCCCTCGGGTCAGGGCAGTCCCAGCTATAAGTATGGATGGGAGAAGAACTCAGAGCAGCTCTGTAGAGAAGGACTTGGGGGTTCTGGTGGTACAAAGCTCGACACGAGGCAGCAGTGTGCACTCACAGCCCAGAGTACCAACAGTATCCTGGGCTGCATCAGCAGAGGGGTGGCAGTGGGCAGGGAGGGGATTGGCCCCCTCTGCTCTGCCCTCGTGGGACCCCATCTGCGTGCAGAGCTGGGACCCCAACCCAGAAAGATGCAGAGCTGTTGGAGAGGGTCCAAAGGAGGCCATGAAGATGCTCAGAGAAGGAGCATCTCCCCTACTATAAGAACAGGCTGGGGGCATTCAGCATGGGGAAGAGCAGGCTTGAGGGAAGACCTCACTGCGGCCTTCCAGTGCTTAAAGGGAGCTTATGAACAGAAGAGAGAGAGACTTTCTACATGGGCAGATAGGGATAAGAAAGGGGAAATGGCTTTAAACTAAAAGAAGGGAGATTTAGATTAGATGTTAGGGGTAAACTACTCAGGGGGCAGTGAGGCCCTGGTACTGCTGCCTAGGGAAATGTGGGTGTCCTGGAGGTGCCTGAGGCCTTGGCTGGGCTCTGAGCAGCCTGGGATGGGAATGGCAGCCCACTGCAGAGCTGGAAAAGGATGGGCTTTAAGATCCCTTCTAACCAAAGTCGTTCTGTGATTGTGTGATACATGCCTCATGTTGATTTTCCCAGTGGGTTTTGGTTGAGCACCGGCTGGCATGCTGGCAGATGTCTGAGTGGCTTTACTGGCAGGGCACTTGGACACGAGCTCCTGTTGCTCCCTGCCTGGCCTCACCTGGAGTGAGTTGGAGCCAACAAGAGGCTCAGCACTGCCAGCTGTTGTCGTTGCAGGGGAACATTGTGGTGCTGGTTCATGGCAGCGAGGATTCAGAGGATGAGGAGAACAAGCTGGTGGTGACCTCCCTATGTCATCACAGCAACCTGATCCTGTGGGTGGAGGGGCTGGCAACTGGCTTCTGCAAGGATGTTCATGGGGAGGTAAGTGCTTGGGGGTGGCACGTGGCAATGTCATGCAGAATTGACAGTGTGGGGACGTGCTCTGTCTGCCCTGCAGGATGCTCCAGGATTAGCCTGGTCTACAGCATGGCTGAGGACCAACACGGCCTTGCTGCAGTCACTGGGACCTGCTAGGACACCCAGGCTCCTGCAGGATTTGTCTGGGGATGTTTTGGTGACATCCTGCACGCTTCCCATTCCTGGAGGATGGGTGAGGTTTGTGCAGCATCACAGTGCAGGCTGTGTCCTCCACCGAGGTGGTGGCACAGGAATAACATCTGGTTCTTGGGAAGCTTCCCCAAAGCACCACGTGCACGGATCCTGGCCGTAGCTGTGGTCGTTTCTCCTGGGCTGGGGCCGCAGCAGTGCTGCTGGCTGCTGCTGGCTTCTCGTTAGGGGCAGCCACGAGGGTGAGCTGCCTGCAGCACTGCGTGATGTTTTTGTAACAGTGGTTTTGTAATGGTAGCATGGAGGGGCAGGGGGTGAGGATGCTGTGACTGTGGCATCCCAAGGGATGACATTCCTGGTCCTTTCCGTTTGCAGATTAAAATAATTAAGAGACTGTCCTTGGAGTCAACAGAGAAGGACGTCATCCAGATCTACCAATACAAGATCCAGGACAAGAATGTCTCCTTTTTTGCTAGAGGGCTGTCAGCTGCTGTCCTGTGATGCAGTGACACCACACAGAGCTGCGAGAGCACTGCAGCACGAGGAGAACCGGTGCTGATGGGTTGGAACCTATAGATTGGTACCTACAGATGGGACACGCTGCAAAACCAGCCTGCTTGCTTCCTCAGCGCCTTCCAGGAGCTGTGCAGCAATGTGGCCTAGGAGGGAAGCTTCAGAGCATCTCGAACTGCATGCAGACAAGGGCATCAGCTTGTCGACAGCTTGTTGATCCCTTTGTCATCCCAGCCAGGCCACCAAGAACCAACTGGGCTGGATGTGCCTGGCAGCAGGTCCGCACAGGCAGGGCATGCCTCACCTTTTCCGGTTGTGCTTGGCTGCTCCACCCTGCATTTAAAGAGATGACACAGAGAGGGAGGAGGCAGGGAGGGCTTGGGAACGTGTTGCAATTCTTACCTTTCTTCCAGCTCTGGCATGGGAGAGATTTGCTCAACTCCCAGTTGACGCAGAGTTAAACAATACGCGGCTCTGTATATAGCTGCTCTCCTTGCTGATGTAAGACTTGGCGGCCGCCTCGTTGGGGTTCCTTGCTGTTTGTTACTTTCCCCCTTTAATATAAAACCCCTGTGCCTATGTGTGTCTCTTCAGTGACTTCTCCAGCTTGTCCTTGTGCAGGCAGCGTTTGCACATCAGCCTGCATCTATCAGTGCATCCAGATCACAACCACTGATGCTTGATGACCTACCAGTTCGTGTCATGAAGTGTTATTAGGGGCTCGTGGCCGCTCATTTTAATTAGATAAAGGATACAGGCAGTATGTGGCCGTTACTGTTCTGCAGCAGGTTCTTAGGAACATCCCCGTGATGGTGGTGATGGGGAAATAGATGTGTTGGGCTGTAGGATGAACCCTGGGCTCTGTTCTGGAGGCTCCTTTGGCGGCAAGGCTTGGCTGGTGTATGACTGTCTGCTGCAGCACCAACCAAAGGCACGGCCTGAAGTGCCTGCAGTGATGTCTGATTGAAGCAGTGCCCGTGTGACGAGCTTCCCCTTAGAAACCCAGACATCCCTGCTCTAGGGCTCTGTTTCCCTCCTTTCTCTCTTCTGAAATGGTGATACAGTCGGCACACCTCACTGCTGGTGGCTTTTGCTGGCGTGCCACGGAGGTGTGCAGCAAAGCAAGGAGCTGCTGGAGGCTGCACGGAGCTGGCTCAGGGCAGCACAGCCCTGGGACGGGTGCCCTGTGAGTGTCGCAGAGCCGTGCCGTGCGTCCCCAGGCTCTGGGCTGTTGTCACAGCAGTGCTGTGCCCAAAGGAGCAAAGCCTTTCCGAACCAGCTTTACCCTCAGAGCTGTTTCCTAGCAGCAGCTGCAGCCTGCTATTTCAGCATGCCTCACTTCTGCCACGCAGCAGAAGCGATTGCAGTGATTGCTGACAGCCATGGTGGCTCCTGGTTTGCAGCAAGGTCTGAACCCGGTGTTTCCCAGGTCCCCCACCTGCCCTTGGCATGTGGAAGCTGGAGGCCGATCTCGTAGCTGTGCTGAGCCACAAAACTTGGCGCATCCACGGCTGAAGCGAGACCTTGCTGCAGAGCTGACGCTGTGGGAAAGCCAAGAGTAGGGATGCAACCGAGGGCAGAACACCGCGGCCTTGTGCAGGGACAGCCAACATCTGCGTGCTCAGGGTCACTGCTGCGAGCGGCTCTTTGTTTGTCAGCCAGGGCCGTGTTTAAGCAGCGCGGTTGATGAACCAGGCGGGGTCCCTCTGGCCTTGGCCGGGCAGCGGCGGTTCCAGCGGGACCCGGGATGCCTGGGCAGCAGCACAGCCAAGCCCAAACATCATCGTGCTGCCCTACCCGTGCCTGATCTGTCTCCAAACCATGGAGCTGCTGCGGGGCCCTTCCCGGTCCCCCTCCCCATCCGTTCTTCCCTTCCCCCCGGAGCTGCCCGCAGTCCCGCGCACTCCGTTCCGCAGCCCCGCTCCACGTGCTCCTGCCGCGCCGCTTCTACGCTCTCACGTGGCTTCCGGCAGCCCCGCCCATAGGGGGCGTGTCCAGGCGGAAGGGGGCGGGGCCAACCGAGGCAGAACCGCGCGGCGCGCTGAAGGAGGCGTGGCCACAGGGGTCGCGCATGCGCGATCGAGCCGGGAAACGGCGCCGAGGGGGCGGGCGGAGCGCGGCGGAAAGCGCGAGGGGAGGATTGGGGGGGAAGTAAAGGGACGGAACGGCCGGGACGGGGAAGGAAAACCGCGGGTACGGCGCCGGTAAGGAAGGGAGGAAAGAAAGAAAGAAAGAAAGAAAGAAAGGAAGGAAGGAAGGAAGGAAGGAAAGAAAGAAAGAAAGAAAGAAAGAAAGAAAGGCGTTCTGCGTGTTCCCGCTGAGAAGCGGCCGGCCGGACCCGCGGCGGAGCAGCGGAGGCCGTGAGGTGCGGAGCGGAGCGGAGGCGCCGCCGCTCCCGGAGCGCCCCGTTACCGCGTGCGGCCCCGCGGCCCCGCCCCGACCCCGATCGCTTTTATCCCCTCGGAGCGATTTTTCTCCTCTATTCTCGGGGATCGCAGGGGTTGAGGGCCGCCGCGGTCGGGGCGGGCCCGGGGGTGCGGCCGAGGGGCGATAAATGGCGGCCGAGGGGAGGGGGCGGGCGGGGGGAGAACAAAGGTCCGTGCGGGGCTGCAGCGCATCGTGCGGTGCCGCTCGCTGCTCGGCTCTGCGCTCCGCTGCCCTGCGTGAGGCGCGCGCTGCCCCGCGGCCCCGCTGAGCTCCGATGCGGCGTGGCGGAGCTCCGTGCGGCAGAGCGCTGCGGAGCGCGGGTGTCCCAGCTCCGTGTGTTTAATGGCAGGTGTTCGTAGGGGCTGCGGGAAGAACGTCCTGAGAGAAGGGCTTGGGGGTCCTGGTGGAACAGAAGCTGGATATGAGGCAGCAGTGTGCGATGGCAGCCCGGAAGGCCAGCTGTGTTCTGGGCTGCAGTGAAAAAGGGGCTGCCAGCAGGGACAGGGAGGTGATCGTCCCCCTCTATCGGCTCTTGTAAGACCGCATCTGCAGCGCTGCGTCCAGGCCTGGGGCCCCCAGCACAAGAAAGGCACAGAGCTCTTGGAGCAGGTCCAGAGGAGGCACTGAGGTGCTCATAGGGCTGGAGCAGCTCTGCTTGAGGAAAGGTTGAGGGAACTGGGCTTGTTGAGCTTGGAGAAGTGAAGGCTGGGGGGAGACCTCATGGTGGCCTTCAGTGCTTGAAGAGAGCAGATAAACAGGAGGGGAATGGCTGTGTGTGAGGGAGGGTGGTGATGGGACAAGGGGAATGGTTTTAAAGTGAGACAGGGGAGGTTTGGGTTGGATATGAGGAGGAAGTTTTTGAGCCAGAGGGTGGTGAGGCACTGGCACAGGTTGCCCAAGGAGGCTGTGGATGCCCCATCCCTGCAGGCATTCAAGGCCAGGCTGGATGTGGCTCTGGGCAGCCTGGGCTGCTGGTTGGTGACCTGCACACAGCAGGGGTTGGAGCTGGATGAGCATCGTGCTCCTTTGCAACCCAGGCTGTTCTGTGATTCCTGAGGTTGGGCTGAAGCTGAGCGATCTGCATCCGCACACAAGTGTTGGTGTGTTGGTCCTACAGCCAGGACAGAGCTGTGGCCTTAACACCAAAATAACCCTCAGCTCTTTTCTCAGAGCCTCCCTGTGGAAAGTGAAGCTTCCTTTCAGCTGTGCCATGAGCTCTTTGCTGCTGTAACTGCCATAGGTTTCACGTACAGCTGTGATACGCCCTGGGTTACCTATGCAAGGCAGAGGCCAGGCTGCCACCAGGACAGCTCTGTGCCCACTGACAGTGGTGCTGTGCTGGCTGTCTCTCCAGATGAGAATCAAGCATACAAATGGCACAAAAGAGCAGAGGATCCATAGTGATTTTTCTTTTTTTCCTCTCAGGAGCATTAAAGTAGTGTTTGAAGTGCCAGAGTCTGAGTGATGAGTGAAAGGTGACAAGTGTTCTCTGCGGAGAGCTGTGCTTACTTGCTGTTGGTTTATCCAGTGGATTGCCAGGCATGTCAGTTCTTCAAGTTCTTGTAACTGTGCTTAGAGAATTCACCTTAATCTTATTTCATAAGTAAAGGTATCGAACAGTGCAACAGGTACAGATTGATGAGCAGAAGTACTCACCTGTCTACAGTGCAGCTTAATGGAGTGGAGGGGGGGTGACATAGAATCATAGACTGGCCTGGGTTGCAAAGGAGCACGATGCTCATCCAGCTCCAACCCCTGCTGTGTGCAGGTCACCAACCAGCAGCCCAGGCTGCCCAGAGCCACATCCAGCCTGGCCTGGAATGCCTTCAGGGATGAGGC